CAGGAAAGCACATGGAGCAGGACTTCCATCTCCTGATCATGTTCACCTTTGAGTATGACTTCAGAACAGAGAGAACAGTGCTTCTCCTGCTCGTAATCCACCCGTTTTCAGTTAGTAATTATCATTACGTCCAATTAATTTCAACAGGCTCTTCAAAGTTGACACTCTTCCTGACATTACAAGAAGAAAAATAGCATTAAAGTCTTATTATCTGGAAAGAAAGAGCAAATATTTATGCAGAAGTTCACTTCATTGCAGAAGACTGCTACAAGGTAGCATAAGTGATTTACTGCTTTCATTATTCAAGTTAAATAAATCTCCTCCTTTCCAAGCTATTGAATATAGCGTTATGCTGGCAGAGTGGATTACATTTGATCTATGTACCATGACAAGTACTGAAAATTGTGGGCTTCATTGCTATATTCACCCACTCCTTCCTGAACAGAAGAAGAAAGTGTCAATACACAGAGCAGCCTTTGCTCTGTTCCTTCAGCATAAGAAAGCACAAAGCTGCTCTGGAGCTGTAATGAGTACACAGTCTGACACCATGGAAACTAAGACAAACTCCTTTTAACTCTTTCGAACAACATTCAGGGTGTGGCACAAGACAAAAATTTTCCTCTTCACGAACATTTTATTTGCATAAATCATAGTTCATGACAGGCTTCCATTAATGCTGAGGCTTATTTTTGTATGTTTAAAGTGTATGGATAAAACCTTAATCACTGTGGAAGCAAACAGCCTATCTGATTCAATCTGGTTTCTGTATCATTTGAAAATGAACGTATTTAATCAGACTGCAATTGCTCCAGAAGAACGAGGAGATGAGTAGCTGCTATCAACCCACGGTCTTTACTCTAGGTTTCTTTCACGTAGTCTGGGAGCCTGGTAAGTAACGTACAGCTTGGACAATGTTTAAGAGATTCTGCTCCTCGCTGGGATTTCTGTGATCACTTTATCACAGCCTGCCCACACCACACCCAAACACAATCAGAACCACCACGGAAAGAGAAAAATCTGAAAAGTGAAACCCCACCGTTTTCAACCACTGCCCACAGTCCAAGGAGCTGCCTTGTTTATTTCATAGCCTGCTGGATCTATGGACTTGTCCTCAGTAGAGCCAGGAAGACTCCCCATGCAAACACAACCCCTACGTTTACTTGCTCTAAGTTTAGCATCTTGACTCTAGGAAGAAAGAGCCTTGTTTTACACCATCACTCCAGCACCACAACCGTCACAACCTAAATCAGAAACCAAAGACTTGAGCTGCTAGCAAGTTTCACCAGGAAATTTAGAAACAAAAGCCAGGATCACGAAGGAAAGTTTTATTTGACTTGCAATGCCCACATCCTAAGATTGAAGGTATTAAAAAAAATGCTGCAAAGAAAAAGGAAGAAGCAAAACAAGAACAGATTTTTACACCTTTAGGAAATCAAGAAAAAACAGGCACAAGTTTACATTCATTAGTTTCAGATATGGCAGAGGAATGTTCTACTGAACAGGGGTAAATAAAATCCTGCTTTCACACCGTGTATGAGACAGCACGTCATGCTCTTCCAAGCCACACTGATCTCGTCGTTACAGCTAAGCAGATATTTCCTCATATTTTTTTATTAACTTATTTGTGCTTTAAAGATCACAAAGACCCTCCTAGAGCCATTGGTGTGGTCTCTACGTGCCTACTGGAGTTCTGAGTACGTACTTGAACCGCTGGTGAAGCTTGTCACAACCTCCACATAAAAAAACTGAAAGTCATGCATATTTGAAATTCTGTTTAAGCATCAGAAAAACTACTGAAGGATTTTATTTCATAGCTGCTAAGCCATTTTAAATCCCCATCAGTGTTAAAATCTTGCAAGTGTCAGCCAAGAATGATTTAACCCCTTGAGAATAAGGGTTCATTATAAAAGAGGCAAATACCTTATCTCTAGAGATTCTACCCGAAGACGTATCTCATCTGCTACTAATACTGAAGTATTTCCTTTGCTAAACACAATATGCTGGGGAAAGAAGGATTTTCTAGTGATCTCTTACGAAGCCAGAGGGCAGGCAGTTGTTCTGTCATAACCTTTTCCTCTACCCTGCAGGACAGAGGAGGATGAGGAGGTTGCCATTTCGGCCAAGCCATGCTCTGGATGGGATCAGTGGAAGCAGCCCGAGCCCCTGCTCAACGTGCCATCCACAGGAGCTGAATGCAGGACACTGACCACCACCCCCCCCAGGTCAGGGAGGGCTTCTTCCACGGGAACAGCTCCTCCGAACCCGCTGATCTGAGCAGTACCCTTCAAAGCCTGCAAACACCTTTCTTCTGCCTTTCCTCTCAAGCTACATGGGAGTGGGGAGGGAGAAAGAGCAGCAATGAAAGGGACAGGTTGTGTAAAGAAGTTTGACAACCTCTCCAGTAAAGAGAAAACCAGTTTGTCTCAGCAGACATCCTTGGCTTGCGTGCGAGCGAGTGTTGGCAGGTGGAGGGGGATGTTCTCGAGAAGATCCCTCTTTACCTTCACTGGGAGGGCAACAGACCTTGTTTGCAGTAAGGGCTAAGGAAAAGCATAAAGCTGCCACAAAACAATTTTTCTTCCATTTGATTGATAAGGAATTTACAATTTTGTAGCTCAAAAAGCTGCAGTGCAAGTTAGTGTTTGCTTCATGGAGACCCTGTTTCTGTATCCTCTCTCACCAGGAGGTGAAAAGACCCAAGTCAGTGGCCAGCGTTGTCTGTACACAAAGCAGGCAGGCTGCCCCAAGCACTGAGGCCAAAAGACACTCAAAGTAGTAAATAAATACACACAAAACAACTCTAAAAATCTGAAATGAACAGCACTGATTGCTCAGAATTACAATCCAACTTATTACATTAATCTTCACATTTTAGCATCTTTTTAACCGCTATACAAAGCTGCTGAAGTTACTCTTTCTTCTAAACCAGCCATACACAAAGCACTATAAACACTTTTTTTTGGCAAAGTAACTTGCTTTCAGAATACAGCGTACTTTTCAATCACAGTTTACACATAGCAGGTGTGTCGTGCTAATACAACAGCCTCTGTTTCTTCTCTCACTGCACGCTTCCAGGAGCAAGACACCTCAGAAACCTTCTCTAGTTTAAATTTCTCTCTCTCAAATCCTTCTCGTAACAGTTTATTTCATGCAGCCGCCCTCAGGTCAGCTGCTCCTCACTTCTGCCTCTGCACTGTCTTGTTTATTGCATTAATCTGTTCTTCAGGATAAGCCACATCAGTCTGATGTGCTTATAGAGCAACAGATGTTATGTGCTCTGCACTTGCCCTCTTGCAAGCATTTCAGGAGCACTTATCTACTCCTTTTACATCCTCCTGTTTACTTTTTCCCTGCTTACTTCCTTCCTGCTTTTACCAGCAGGATCCACATTAGGTATCTGAAGAAGAAGAAAGAAGACATTTGTATTTTCCAAGCCTGTGCACTGACTTTCCACATCTATAGAAATTCCAGATTCTTACTCTCCCCCTCCACCCCACCCCACCCCGGCAAAACTGTGGCTAGGTAAAACCTATGCCTTTTACCTGGAACAGACACAAGAGAGAACTAACCAGACTGGAGAAAAATCAGTGAAGCCTGTGTTTTTGTGAAAGTCCCCATTTGCTTCTCCCTGAAGACCTCCTTGTTCTGAGGCTGGGACTTGGAGCTGTTATGTGGACTGAAACAGCAGAAAGGAGAGGCTGGACCCTCAACCTTCATCTGTGGCACTGCGCTCACAGAGGACTCAGCGAATTACTGCAAAGCTGACACAAAAGCCAGGACTGCCTCAAGTCCAGCACACTCCAACACTGCTATCCTGCGCTAGGACCCAACTCAACACATGTCCCAAAGCAGCCAGATTTCAGGTGCTGGCTGTGCAGTCAGGATCCCATCAGTTGAGAAGAGCCCATCCCAGCACTACAAAGACGCACACGTGCATTTGATCTATACCCAAAACTAAGCTACGTTTATTAGGATTGACAGACTATAAAGAGTAGTTTCCTCTCTAGCAGCTTGATCTCAGCTCTTTAGCTACTTGCACACATAACCCCTTTCGTACACCACATCCAACACCTACATCTCCTACTGCCTTGGGCATAACAGGAATAGGCACCACGCTCTACTGGTTCCCTCCACTTGTGTACACCCCACACCTCCTACCCAGCAAAAACGGCTGCTGGCTTATTCTGAAATACAGCAAGGCACTTTGATGGATGTTAAAGACCTTGTGCATCCACAAGCAGGATGCAAATCCATCCTCTCCTCAGCTTGCCTTAGGGGCAAACGTAGACCTCAGCAATCTCCTAAATGAAGATGACCATGGCACAGAGCTCATCATCTGGTCTGCAAAGAGCACCAACACAGAAAGAACAAACCAACTTCCTTTAGAGCTTCAGACTGGTTGCAAAAGTGTGCATTATACTTCAGTGCTTTACAGAAGTAATTCTTCCTCCCTGGGAAAGAAATCTTTGCTAGTCACATTGCACGTATTAAAACACGTAAGGTGAAAATCAGCAGTAATGTCTGTAGAAACACAGCAGAGAAGAAGGATAATAAAAATCCCAAAGCAAACAAAGCCTCCTTGAGAAGCTAAGGGTCAAGTGGAGACTTTACCAGTGATGTTCCTGCTCCCACACACAATCATAAACATCAGAGATCATCTCCCAGAAAAATGCACAGGCGAAATGAGTACATACGTTGCCCTGTTCAAGAGAACTGGGCAAAAATCTGGGCCTAGGCAGTTTGTGGTTTATATGACACATTAAAAAATAATAATAAAAAGAACAGAAAGATGGAACAAAGAAGAAATTCAAACCATATTCTGGCAAGTGGTCCTGGATCCATCCCAGCAAACACTAATGGCTACAAAAAGCAGAAGGTCCCATCAGGTTGCTTTGTGTTGAGCTAGTCTTGCTGCCACCACTGAGCATTGCAGGTAGTTTTATCCATCTCTGGAAGGAGAAAGATTCTTGTACAAAACCGTTTTCCCTCCCTGATTGATATCAGATGAGCTCCTTCAGTGGCTCATTTTCACCAGGAAGCGAGCCGTTCATCTCAGGGGAAGTCTCGGTGCCCAGATATCCCAAGAGGATCTCGCTGCGCCGCCGTGACAGCTGCAAAATGTCTTCTGCCAGCGACTGCACCGTTGTGTATCTCACATTGTCAAAATCAAACATGTCCTTCAGATATTGTACTATCTGGTGCTGCAAAGACAAAAGGAAGGTTTACAGTAAGGAGACCTCCTCCCACCTGGCAATATCAGCTGTCTGGACTGCAGCAAGCAGAGAACCCCATAGGGGATTTCGCACGTCTGCCATCTGAGTGAAGATCTGCTTCAGGCCGGGTATTTTGTGGCCAAATCTTCTCATGCCTCTGAAACAGGACAGCAGAGCTCCTGAAGTCAGGAAAGCAATGCTGGTGTCTATGGCAATATCCATACAAACACTTAATGAATGCAACACAGCCTCTCGCTATCTACAAGAACAAGAGGATTTAGCCTTTAAGACCAAACAGATAATATGTAAGATCCCATGTTCTCTTAGACAACATTCTTTCAGCATATGCACCTGTAATCTTTTCAAGTACTGACAGTACAAATTGATCTCATAATACATTTATGCTATCAGCATAAATATCAGTAAATTGTGCTGGGAACTCTTATCAATCTGATTTCAGCAATCTGCATCTCAAAAAACCCAGTGATTTTTAGAAGGTTTTTGTATAGAGCCAAGTTTCTTAATGCCATGTCAGCCATCAAAAGCACACACCTGCAGCTTTAAGCCAGAAAGCAGCAGGAGTCCCACACAGATTAGGTACAGAAAAGCCATCTTACCTTGAAGAAACTGCAGACTTCGGCTAGCTGCTGCTTGGGCCCCAGAAAACCAAAGGCTAGAACAGGACTGACATGCTCCGATACGGAGTAGAAATGAGAGATAAAGCCATCTGGTACCTGCCACAGGGAAGGGAAGAAATGGTCGGTCTCAGTTCTCAGACAGAATTAGCAGCTTACTCCATACCAGCTACCAAATTCCCTGCCAGAAAGTACTGTGCTTCAGTAACTGAAGTTAAGAGCTATTTAAGAATGTCTCTTCCTGCAGATTTACATTTATCTTTCAGATCCCTTGAAGAATGACTAAAGCTTTCTATCTTCATGTTTCTAAACTACTATTTTAGGAGGAAAATAAATACAAGAAAACGAAAGTCAACATTCAGTCTTTATAGACTCTATTTATAATTTCTGGATCAAGCCAGGAAAGGGCATACAAATATCCAAGACAGAGCTACTGTATGACAGCACCAATACAGCTTCCAGCGCTCTCACTTCTCTTTGAACCATCTCACGAGGCAAACCCAGTCGTACCAGCTGGCTGTGGGATAGGACCTGAAACCTTGCCAGAGGCCACAACCCTGTGGCAGAATCGGGGTTGTGAAGTTGCGGCTTCCCATTCCCCAAGTCCATGAACTCATCTGCTGTGATACTTTAGAAAGCTACAGACTTAAGGGAAATGCATCAAGTAACAGCTTCAGCAGTCAGCGCTGGGCAGTGGAGAGGCACATGAGCCGCTCACTGTGCTGCCAGCAGGGAAACTACACTTCAGGAGCAGCCCCTTGTTGCTTGGTGCCTGTGACCATTCCTACGGTACTGTGAGCGGGGAGAGGGAATACCAGACAAGCACTGTAATACCAGACAAGCAATGTTGTCTTTTGAAACCTCACATTAAGAAAAAGGGAGAATGAACTCAGACTGATTCAGTAAAACACTGGCATGGCACTGGAGCAATGATGGCAGGATCCCCGTGCTCTAAAGCATCACAAAGAATGTGATTCAGTTCAGTCTTATGACACATAGATTTTATATTTTGTCAAGATGTACGTGTTATCTTTCTAGCTTCAAATACATTGGATTATTTCCCTTTTAATTAGTTTTGCTTACCATCAGAAGCCTCCTTTTTGCTTTCAGAACTGACCAACAGGCAGTTGCTAGAGCCTATGATTAACAGAGAGAAACCATCAGTGACTGGGATTACTTTTCAGAAGAAAACAGCTTACCAACACATTGCCATCAAAATATCAAAGCAGTGGCCCTTTTGTGCCAACAACTCCAAAATCAGTGACAAAAATCTAAGTGAACTGTAAGCGGTTTTGGCCGCTCCAGATCCCTTTGAGAAAAGCTGAAGTGTTTTTGAAGATTGCTAATACAGTCTGACATAGTTGCCAAACACCCCAGAATGCAGACTGTAAGCAGACAGCTGTCAAAAGGTGCCTCCAAACCATCTTCTTCTCAGTCTATGAAAGGAATCAGTCTGAAATATGCAGTTGGGGGCCAGGACTAGAGGAAAGCACTGCTATTTGAGCCTCAATGTCTGCTGAGACACCACTAGAATGAATGGCCAGGTGCAAAAAAACACCCATATTTTTCCCTATGTTTTGATCCTCTTATTCATGAAAATATGCGCTGGCATCTTTTAACATCTCCAAGGCATCACTGATAAAGGCCGCCAGAGAAATAGGTCTATTGGAGCCAGCCAGATGCTTTCAAAATAAGGAAAGCTTTCCTGTAAACAATTTACATGTACCAGAAGCTTGTTTAGTGCTTCAGTAAAGCATGGTATTGCTAAAGAGAAAATGCAGCTCAGCCAGGACAGCCAAGGTTATACTCTT